AGTCTTTTATTTGATGTCGCTTTCCATAAACAAATTCTCCAGGTTATGGTCCAAGATCCTTAAGTTCTGAGAGCTCTCAAGGTGTTCCACCACTGAAAGAATGCTACAGATGTTCTGTCATGGCTGTAGTGACACCTTAACAGCTTTGACAAACTGCCTTCTGTAAGTCCTCCTCATTCTCTGACCCAGATACCCTCTCAGCTGCCCCTGTGACCACTCAGCTGAAGACAACAGACTGCAAACGAGAGATTTTCTACAGAGAGGGCTCTCCTACAGTGGATGACGTCGACGAAAATAATCCATAATCAATCTGCTGTTGGCAAGCTGTGTTCAGCAAAGCCTTCTTTCTTTGTCTGTGAGTCAGAGACTGTCAGTTTGCCGTGACCAGGCTTCTGCGTTTCCTGTCTATAGTGCAGGAATTAGAGCTGTCCGCTGTGATGTTTCCTCCTTTTAATACTATGGCTGGGGCTGTTCTTCTATGAGGCATGACCAAAGTGTAGACCCCTCAGCTGGGAGTTCTCCACTGTGAGGGTTCCAGCAGCCCGACCAGATGGAGGGGATGGAGGAAAGGTGGCTTTGAAAATGCAAGTTCCACCTACCCGGGTCCCAGTATTTCCATTTTAGCCACTGAACTTTTATCAGCCAGGGAGCTTTTGCTGGGTTTCAAGCTGCCTCAGGAGCCCTCAGGAACCGGCCTCAGGCGCCATCAATTAAACCCGCTTTAGCCCGGGAGCATGGCTGCCTGTGGACTAGCACATTTAAAAATACATTTCATAATTTCTAGGGCATATGCCTTTATAAATAGTGCAATCTTTCAATATGACACAAGATCCGGTCACTAACAGACTCAAATTTATCTTCAGTTTCTTTGCAACAGAAAGCCAAAAGTATGTAAACCTATGTTCAGTAATTAATATTTTAGAATTTTATATTACTTGGAAAATAATCCAGATATTCAATGAAATTCCATGATTTAATTTAGCTCAAACACTCTAAAGTTTTAAGTTACCCAAAAAGATTTGGGGATGTTATTTTTAAGCACACATACCATAAAACATAATTGTTGATCTAAAATCTTTTATCCAATTTTCATCTATCTAAAGAGTTTGTTCCCCAAAATTATGTTTTGATTACTCACAAAAACTTCATGAGATAATAGACCAAGTCAACCATCACGTGAAGCAAATTTTCCTGCTGATAAATTTTGAATCAGAGATAATATGAACTTATTTGGCCTGTAAACCCATAAAGAATAGAAGTATTATATTTAATATTGATAACTCTAAAGATATGACTGTTTCAATTAAATCAACAAACTTAAAATTAGATTTAGTTTTGAATGTTTTCCCAGGTCATATGAACCTGAAAAGCATTTGGGTTAGTTTCTATTATATTTCTGAGACTTTATAGGAATACTTAATTTATATGAACACTTGATTTTCCTTAAGCGAATTAAATAAAGCTCGTTTACAAATTAATTTTGGGAATGCCATCCAGAGGTAGAAAAATATCACATGCCTACATAGACATACATAAACTATAGACAGACACAGTAACATTATAGCATTTTTTAAAAATTTCAGCCATGTCTCAGGTACAAAGTTCAAAGGAACAGTTATCCAAATGGTGTTTCCAGCAGATGGACTAAGTTAAGGTTACTTGCTCAGATGCCCAAAGTTTCAGCACTAGAGAAGAAGAGGAGCTCATATAAAGAAAAGGGGGCTAGAAGAGGCTTGAGAAAGGGAGCAGAGAAGTAAATCATTTATGTATTACATCGAAGAATGTTCATCTACATTTTACATCCAAGAACGCTGAAACACTGAAAATAGCAGCACTAGAGAATAACGTGTTAGGTGGTAATCAGAATTTACGTGCTGGTGTCCTAAGTAACAAAGTCAAACATTCTGAAAATGATGCTTCCTTATTCAACTCTAACAAAAATTCCATATGCTCACAGAAAAGTAAAGTATTTTCTCTGAATTTAAGAAAACCACTAGAAACGGCTGATTCAAAAAAAGGATTGGAATACATTGAAGAACAAGTTGTGTGCCCTTGCCAAAAGACTATAAAATCTCCCAGGAAATTCTTTACACAAGAGGTAAAAGACTCACATTGAAGGGCTTCCTTCTTTATAGGGTATTGATTAATTTTGGTGAGAAATTTTGAAGGATCTATTTGAATTTTAATAGGACGTGCACTGTGGACTCTGCCCGTGTCTGTTGCAGACTCTGCCCATAGGGAGGGTGGCAGCTGATTGAATAGGAATAAACAGCTAGCGTCTTTAAAGTTAATTTCAACATCATCAGTGACAAAACAATTAACAGATGTCGCAGGGTCATATTAAATGTCCAGTTGGCTCTTTTGGTTCTTGCTGTCACTGCTGCTATCAAATTTTAGAATTATTTCCCCCTTTCAGGAGAAAGAAATTCCAACATGATATCTTTCTAAAATGTCTCAGCCTAATAAATGAATAGAGGCAGAGGAACTAAGGAGAAAACGGTGGGTATCTCTCACAGGGCCAAAACAAAAACAAATAGGTTCAGAGGCAGGAATGTGTTGAGGTTTATTGGACATTCCCGCTGTATGAACCCCATTTCAGCACTCTGAGGCAGGGGCTGTGTTACAGCAGTGAGGTTGCACGCCCAATCTGGAGAGCTGTCTTTCTGATTAGGAATAGTCTCTGCAGTTCCTTGGAGCCTCATAAATTCAGCAAGAGAATGAGAACGGGGAAACCGAGGGTATAGAGGAGGTGGAGGTGGTGCAGAAGGGAAGGAAGAAGATGGCACTGGAGGTGGGGCCTGAGCATCACACAAAGAAAATGGCGGAAGAGAAAGACAGGCCTCAGACGCCATTCTGTGCTAACCTCAGTTTTTCAGTTGTTTTGGCTAATTTAGATATGGTGTCTTGTAATGAGGCAATTTTAGTTTTGTGCTCTTTGGGGAGCTCCGGGTACCAATTAAAATAAACACACTATTCATTTTGCTTACTTTTAGAGCCATGGCCTTCCGATCTGGGGAGACCTACGGTTCTCATAACGGCCGTTGTATTTCCAGACTACTCTTGGTCAGCTTGGCCCACTTAGTTAAAAAAATGGGCATGTAGGGGGCCCAGAGTTCTCAAACATAATACGCCGCGGGGCCCTGAAGGAGGATTTCCCTCAGAACATTTAGATGACTGGCATCTCATTTCTGAAATTTCCTCTGAAAACCCAAGAAAGTTGCAGGATTCCCAGCCCTGATTCCAAAAGGAATCTGAAAATCAAAGAAAACTCTTGGATTCTCAGCAAATCCAAGCCCCAAGAGGAACTGTGCTCCTGCTTTAGAAAACACCTGAATACTCACCAAGGACAACACCTTGAACCCAAGGACAGAGCCTTGAACCTGGAAGGACAGAGTCCCTCCCCCTAAAGGACGAAGCTTCTCCCCATCCCAAAGAAAGCCGGAGAGCTCAAAACGCAAAAGGAGTGGACCTCAGAATCCAAGAGGAGTCTCTCCAAACCTACAGTAGGCGGTGACTCACCTAAGTGACGAGTGCGAAGAGCTCTGCCCCTTACCAGGAGCTGCCCTCCCGTGGGCATCACCTCCTTTAGATCCTGCTTTGGACACCATATATGTCAACCTTAAAAATAAAAGTTATGTGGCCGGCTGGGTGACGCAGCGGTTAAGTGTGCACATTATGCTTCGGTGGCCCGGGTTCACCGGCCCGGATTCCGGGTGCAGACATGGCACCGCCTGTCAAGCCACGCTGTGGTAGGCATCCCACACATAAAGTAGAGGAAGATGGGCACGGATGTTAGCTCAGGGCCAGTCTTCCTCAGCAAAAAGTGGAGGATTGGCAGTAGTTAGCTCAGGGCTAATCTTCCTCTCTCTCTCACACACACACACACACAAAGTCATTTTGCCAGCAAGACTAGTTTATTTGGGAATAGACAAAGAATTGCAATTCAGGATGGGCATCCTATGGCAGATCACAGGCAAATCCAGCAAGCGAAGAAGAGCAATGTTAATTTATAGAGAAAAACGAGGAAGTTGGGAGGGTTGTTTTGAACAAAGGTCCATCGGAGGAAAGCCAGGGTTCAGGGCGATGACTTCGTTTCTCATTCGCTTAGTTTGCTGCAGTGGTTGATTTCCTCCTTGAGATGCAACGTCCGCCTTTCCTGTTCAGGCCTGTAATTGACGGTTTTTTTTCCCGTTGGAGATTCTTCTCGTTGGGGTCTATAATTGACCTCAAGTGGTACTGCGTGGGAGCCCCCCCTCAGGCCTCCCGACTCCATTTCAAGTGAGGTTTTCCTTTACTAATTTTCCTAATGGACACAACATTCAAGGCTGTAAAACAAGACCAACCCTCCCTCCCCCCACACACATATTCCTTTCGGTCCCCACTAACAGACGCCGGGAGGTCTGAGCTGCTCCCTCCCGTCTGCCCCGCAGGCACGCTGTGCTGGCCCCGTGAGGATGGGCATCCGCGACCCGGCGCACGCGGGTTGGGAGCGGGCAGAGGACAGGAGGGCCCTTTCATCAGCTTCTCCATCAAGGCTGCGTTCACTAGCCTCGACTGGTGCAGCCCACGCGGTCTGAATAACCGTTATAATTATAGGGGCTGCGCATGCAGAGGGGACTCAGGCGACGTCGCCCTGGGTCAGATAATCACCACAGTAGTGGGTGGCATGGGCTGCGCCACTCCCATCCTTGGGCCAGTCACCGTTTCAAGTGTCCCCGACATACATTAATCCTAGACGGAGTACTGTTATTAACCGAATTGAGGAAGTGAGCCCAGAGTGCTGAAATAAATTGTCCCAAATCGCACAGCAGGCGAGTGGGGAGCCCGAGTGGGAACCCAGGTGGTCTGGCGGCAGAATCCGCGCTCTGCAACGCCTCTCTGTTGTCTACTGAGATTCGGGCGGACGAGGAAACTTTCGCGCCGCGCCGCGCGCCCAGGAGTCGGGCAGGCGGCGCTGGGGCCCGGGACAGGGTGCGAACAGTCTGCCCTGAGATCCAGGAAGGCTCCCTAAAGCACGGGTCGGAGCCGGGCGCGGAGGACACATCTGCGGAAGGTGGAGGCGCATTCCTAGACGGGCAAGGCCACCCGTTGTGAAGGGCCAGGTGCAGAACCCTCCATCAGCCGCGGGCGGAGAAGGCTTAGCTCTGCCCTCCGGGAGGGGCTGGGCCTCGCACCCCACCCCGCCCGCAGCCGCAGGGAGCCCCGGGCGCCCCACTCGGCCCGGAGCCCTGCGGTATCTGTGAGCGCACGGTCAGCTCTGCGCCCCTGGGATCGAGTCGGGGAGGAGCTGCGGCCTCGATGCACTAGGTCCCTGCCCCCACCGTCCGCCGCCACCAGGCGACAGAGCGACGAGGGACCGCCCCCTGCCCCGCACCGCACTTTAAAGGCCAGCCCCGCGGCATTGGCGAGAGGCGCGGAGACCGGCGAGACGGAGGCCCGGGCCGGCGCCCCGACGGCCGGCCGGAGCAGCCCCATGGCGGGTAAGTGCCCTCGCCTCCCCTCCCGCGCCCCCGGTGAGGCGCCCCGGCCCCTCGGCCACCGGCTGCGGCGCTTGCCTCCGCCCCGCCGGCCCCCGCTAGGACCAGCCCCAGCGCACCTTGCCTCGGGCTCCTGGCGCGGCGCTGGGATGCGGTGGAGAGCGAGGCCCCCTCCTCGCAGACACCTGAGGGTCAGGTGCTGGGGGTCTCGCCTTCTCCCTACCCCACCGGGTCCAGACCCCAGAGCCTGGAAGCCCCACGTCCGCACGTGAATCGAAGGGGACACTTTCCCTGCCTGGCCTGGGCACGGGCGCGTGGGACCCAGCGTCGAGCGCTCTTGGTGGACGCCGAGGGGAGCCTCCCAGGTCCCCGCACATGTGGAGGTGCAGGTGCCGGCAGCTGAGGGTCCATGTGTCTCCCTTTCTCACACCCGCTGCCCCACTCCTCCTGGTCCACACCCCCTCCGCTGCCTCCCACCGACCCCACTAAGTGTGCTCGCCTTGATAAGGGTTGAGGAAAGGAGCGGGTTTTAGAGAAAGTTAGGAGTTCAAGCACGAGTCCAGCCTCTCACGGGTTCCAGGACCCCAGAGGATAGGGCTCTGAGAGCATCTCAGGGCATCAGCCCTTTCCCCACTTTCCTCAAGAGCATGGTGCCCACACCCAGCTCACCCTCAGGCCTGAACAGAAGCCCCGGGAAGATGGAGGTTCTGGGAAGAGGTTTAATTTCTACTCAGGAGCACAAGGAAATGGTTCCTTTTAGCCAGAATCCCAAGTCCAGGGCCAGCTGCTTTCCAAGGAAAACCAGAAGACTCCGTCCAGGGCCATGGGACGCCAAGGGAAAGGCTTTTCTGCTGAGCCCCAGCAGAGCCTGCCAGCAGCACCCCTCCTGGAAGCAGACACAGGAAGCCTGCTTCTGAGTCCTCCCGGGGTCTAATCCAGGGGATGGGCTGCTGCCCAAATTCTGCCCCCAGCAGGCCAGTGGTGTGAAGGGGATGGCCTTTCCCCAGCCTCACAGTCCCCATGGTCGCTGCCCCCAGAGCACGTGGCCCTAGTGATTGGAGGCATTATTGGGGGGCTGCTGCTGCTGCTGCTGTTGATCGGGGTGAGCTGCTGGCTCTGGAAGAGACTTTGTGCCACGTCCACCTACGAGGAGCTGCCAGGGACCACAGCTGCCTCCAGCGTACAGGGGGACAAGCTCTGCCCGCCGCATGCCAGGACCCAGACAAGCAGGTGAGGCGGGATGTGGGGGTCACGCGAGCTCCTGGCCTTGCTCGGGGCCCTCCCTGCGGACTTTCCCCTGGAGTGGGTGGAGGAGGAAAGGTCTGTTTATGGAGCACCTCCTTTCTGCTGCCACCGTGCTGGGAGTCTTGCAAAGAAAACCCAGGATCCTCACCCAGCTAGGAGGCAGGCAATTTGGAAGCCTTTTTCTAGCTGAGAAAACTGAGGCTCAGAATAATGGGTCCAGAAAGCACAGCTAGGAAGTGGCAGCACAGGCATGCAGACCCAGGCAGGCTGACTCCAGAGGCTGTGCTCCTTGTCCAACTCACCACTACTGTGGGCAGACAGGTGTTGGCTCTGGCTGTGTGTGTGTGTGTGTGTGTGTGTCCTGCTGTGGTGCTCTTGCCTCCTCCTGTCTCCCCTGGCTTTTCCTTCTCCAGCTCCGGGCACTTAATCCTCTAGGCTGAGTGCTGCGAGGCCACACCATTTACTTGCCATGTACATGTCATCTCCCTGCCTCTGGACAGGCCACCTGGTATGCCATTCGTGGTTCCCCCTTCCGTCCAAGGCCGAGACTGGGTGCCCTTGCACCGCAGAGAGTGGGCTCAGGCCCCACGGGACCTCTGCCCAGCCCCGGAGCTCCTGCCCCACACCACCGGCAGCAATCCTGGTGAGTGCACCCACCAGGGCCTGCCCAGGGGTCAGGGTCTGCTCAGGCCGGGGCAGACCCATCTGCTTTCACGGGCCTGCCTCCGGAATAGAGCCTGGGTGGGCCCGGGGATGCCAGAGTTACCCAGAGACTGCTCTTTCCAGGTACTTGGGTCTACCCAAGTCAGATATGGCCTCGTGTGCCGTTTTGGAGTTAGCCCTCACCACACCTCCATAGGGAGAGGGGTTATCACCCCATTGTGCACATTCATAAACTGAGGCTCTGAAGGTCAACCGTACCTCGCCACAAGGTCACAGAGGCAGTAAGCAGCAGACCTGGGGTTGGAACCCTGGTGTTCCCAGCGCAGAACCTGTGCTGGGTCCTGCTCCAGGATGATGGGTTAGCCGATCCAGAGGGCAGAATGGTGGCAGCTGGGCACAGAGCTGTCTGCCCACCTCTTTGCTCCGAAGGCCTCCCAAGAGACCTTCCCAGGAACCACCTAGTAATCAGCTTGGCCCTCCTAATTTGAAGAGGGAGAGAAGAAGCAACACTTTATCACTGAGACATCCTCTGGACCCCATGGAAAGGGGCCAGGCCAGGTGCTGGGCACTGTGCCCCCAAGGCAGGCCCTGACCTCTGTGGATGGGGGCCGATCCCAGAAGCAGGGGTTGAATGAACGCTGTGGACTCTACCGGGGGCCCCAGGGAGAAGCAGGCCTGGGTGTGCGATGCTGTAGTGCTGAGAAGGCCTCCTGGAGGAGGTGCACGGGACAGAGACGTGTGTTCAGTCTTAAGAGGAAAGTGGGGCGGATGTGGTCACAAGGGGCCGTGAACTGCCTTGTCAAGGCTCAGTCAAGAGGGAGTGGGCCAGGAGCGGGGCAGTGAAGCCCAGAGCTTGCTGTCCCCCATGCCCTGCCTTCCTCTGGCCCACCGGACCTCCCAGCCCCTGTGTTACAGGAGACGCGTGCGTGGTGGGGACCATCAACCCAGAGCTGTACAAGTTCCCCGAGGACCAGAGTGAGAGCCACTTCCCTGAGGGCTGCCTGGGGCGGCTGTGGTTCTCCGTGGAATACCAACAGGAGGCCGAGCGGCTGCTGGTGGGCCTGATCAAGGCGCAGGGGCTGCGAGCCCCCTCAGAGACCTGCAGCCCCCTGGTGAAGCTGCATCTGCTCCCTGATGAGCGGCGCTTCCTCCAGTCCAGGGCCAAACGCAAAACCGCCAGCCCGCAGTTTGATGAGCACTTTGTCTTCCAGGTACGGCCACCTCCGGAGCAGGCAGGAGCTGGTGCATCCTGGCTCCGGGGGAAGGAGCAGACAGTGTGCAGGAGAGCCCAGCCTGCCATGCTAGCCAGGGCCCCAGGACTCCAGGACCCCCTGGCCACAGGCTCTGCTTTACCTGCCTGCTGGGTCAAGGCCCACAAGAGCCCTGACAGCTGACGGCGGGGGCAGGGGAGAAGCTTGGGGCTCCTCCTGTCCCAGCTGCCTGCAGGAGAGAAAGAGAAAACACATTCTTGGAACAGCTACTGCATGCAGGCCCTGGCCCATGGGCTAGGAGCCCTGGAGCACTGGGGGGTTTCTGGCGAGGTTATTCAAAGAAGGCAGAGGGTGAGACCCTCCTGTCAGTGGCCAGCGCAGGACCCGAGAGCCACCCTGGGGCAGGTGGTGCCTTTGCCACACCGTGGGCGGTCTGGCCCAGGGTCTGGAGGTAGAGAGACTGTCTGGGCACTGAGCCCAGCTCACAGTGGCCTGGGAGCCTCAGCAGGTGACGGGGGGCCCTTGTGGGACGCCAGCAATCAAGAGCTGTCGAGAGGCCTTGGACAAACATTTTTAAGAGCTGGGCAGCAGGCTGGCGGGCAGGGTAAGGAGAGGCCGGTCAGCATCTGGGAAGAGAGTGGTTGCTGAGGCCAGAGCTCCAATTCTTGCCCTCATCCAGGGCTCAGGGCTGAGAAGCCGGGTGGGGCCCAGCCCCCTGCCCTCTACTGGGGCCAAGGCTGTGATGCTCTTCTCGCAACATCAAGATCCAAGGGGTGCAGGCTGGCTGACCAGCACGGCCACACGGCATGCTCCCCCACTTACTGTTCTTGACTTACCACCTCCCTGTCCTGTCCCCGCCCCAACTTGACCCCGGCCTCTCAGAGTTTTGAGGGGAGAGAGGAAAGAGAAGGAGAAGAGAAGAAAATCACTGTTAATTCACCATTTGCCATAGATCAGATACTGAGATTGAGGTTTCACAACCCAGAGAGTAAGAACCACTATCGCATTTGACAGGGGAGGAGATAGGTCCCTGGGAGAGGAGGGTTGGGGGGCCCGAATCAGGCAGTAGAGACAAGCAGGGTCCCTGGGCCCCAGCTCGGGGCCGCTTCCACCTTTATGAGCTGGCAAGTCATTTGGAGGTCCTGTTAAACGGTGGATGCCACTCACACGTCTGGGGGGGTGGGCCCAAGGTCCTGCAGTTCTAAAGAGGTCTGGGGAGGGGGCCATGGATGCTGCTGGTCCTCGGACCACGCTCTGCATTTCAGGGCTCTGGCACATTCTCCCACCTCCCTGGGGTATTGGCCCCGCTGCTGAGAAGAGTCCCCTGAGGATGCCTGGGTTTGGGGTGTGCTGGTCCCTGGCTGAGACACGCATCACCGAAGCTCCTGTGTCCGCAACAACCTGCCACACCATCCCATCCCCTGTCCGCACACTTGGCCCCACGCCAGACCCTCTTCTCCCCTAGGTGTCCAGCAGGAGCATCACCCAGAGGGTGTTGAGGTTCTCGGTGTACCACGTGGACAAACAGAAGAAGCACCAGCTCCTGGGCCAAGTGCTCTTCCCCCTGAAGAACGAAACCCTGCTCGGTGACTGCCGGCACGTCATCTGGAGGGACCTGGAGGCCGAGAGCCTGGAGGTAAAGGTCAGGGTCCCCAAACATAAGCCACCACTGGTCAGACTACCGTGGGCAGCCAGCAGGTGTGACCCAGCACCTGTTGGCCAGCGTCAGCCCTTAGCGTACTGCTTACCACTCTTGCAAGTGTGACCCAGGGTGCTGGGCCCGGGGGGAGCTGCTTGGGAGGAGGAGGGTGTGTGGAGCCACTCCTGGGCAGGGAAGGAGCATCCTGAAAAATTCATATTTGGATTCCCATCGAGATCAGACAGCTGTGAAAGGTGACACCCCAAATGGACCAGCCAAGGAAATTATTTACCCGTGTTCCCTTAACCTGCAAGAAGGATGCGGGCGGCTCGGATGGGCTTTGGAATCCCCCAGACCTGGGTTTGAATCTTCAGCTCTGGTCCTCACTACTGTGTGATCCTCAGCAGACCCCCTGCAACTTTCCAGACCTGTTTCCATCTATAAAGTGGCGGGTGGGCGTAAAGGAGGGAAAGTGGGTGCCTTGTGGTAACCGTGCCCCACTGCGGGGAGGAGGGAGGAAGGCACTGTCGGGGGTCCGTGGCTCCTCCAGCACCTGCCCGAGTGACAGGCAGCTTTCCCCTTGGCCTCTCCAGCCTCCCTCGGAGTTTGGCGACCTCCAGTTCTGCCTCAGCTACAACGACCGCCTGAACCGCCTCACCGTGGTTGTGCTGCGAGCCAAGGGCCTCCAGCTCCAGGAGGATGCGAGTTGTCTCAGTAAGTTTTCCTCCTCAGGGCAGGCTCCACCTTGCGAGCTTGCCTGGGGCTGGAGTCTGACCCTCATCCCTGGCCATCCAGTTTCTGCTTGCATATGGCCGGTCATGGAGCGCTCACTACCTCCTGAGCCACGCCCCTTGTGGATGGTTGTGTGGGAAGGGCTTCTTTATGTTGAAGCCAAGGCTACATCCCCTTGGCCTCCATCAAGACCCCTAAGACTGGCTTGCCCCACCTTTTCCTAAGGCAGCATCTTGGTTCCTTGAACTGTGCAGCCACCTCCACCCCTGCCCTTCTGTGAAAGGCTCCAGTCCCTCCAGGGCAAGGCCTTGTACCTCCCCGCCCCTAGGGAGGGCTGCCCGGCATGTGGAACGTGATGCTGGGCTAGGAGAAGGGGCATCCCAGGCCAGCAGGTGGCTATGGTGTCTGCTTCCTCCAGCATCCCGGAACCCAGGAGCTGGAGGAGCAGAAGCCCTGCTCTGCTCATCCCATGCATCCCGCCCACAGGGGGGCCCCCAGCACAGTGGTGGGTGTCTGCCAGCCGTGTGTCTCTGCGCCTGGGTCACTATAAGCAAGCTGGCACTCAGCCTTCCGCTGCGGATCCACACGTCATTTGAGCCCCACCCAAAAGAACTTGGCCCTCTGAAGGAGAAGGTGTTTAAGGGGCCCCAGGGCGCCTGAGCGCCCAGCAGGCCAGGCTCCCTGCCCCCGAAGGGAGGGATGGGTGTGTGGTGCTAGGCTCCAGGAAACAGGCGCCAGCCAAGCCATTGGTGCATTCAAGAGGCAGAGAGGAAGGAAGAGGAAGGGAGCCCAGCGTTCCCGGCTGTAAGGCAGGACGCTAATCAACTTCGCTTCCTCTCGGAACGCCCTCTGGCTGCAGCGGCTCTGAGTGATGGGGTCCCAGCGCCCAGTGTGGGCGTGTGCCCTCCCCGCCAGACCGCTCACAGGCTGGAGGCTGGGCCCCTGCCCGCCCCTCCCAGCCCGCGGTCTGCGCTGCCCCTCAGGTGTGTTTGTCAAAGTGTCCCTGATGAACCACAACAAGTTTGTCAAGTGCAGGAAGACTTCTGCTGTGCTGGGCTCCACCAACCCCGTGTACAGCGAGACCTTCAGCTTCAAGGTCGACCCCGCCGAGCTGGACACGGCCAGCCTCAGCCTGACAGTGCTGCAGAACGCCGGAGGGGACAGTAAGGCTGCTCCCCCAGCCCCAGGTGGTTGGAGCCACAGGCAGAGGAGGGGCTGCTGAGCATCGAGTCCACTTGGCCCCAGGGAGGGAGCTGTATGGTTTCTGTTCTCCACCTAAGGAAACCAGCACTCAAAGAGGCAGAGATACTTGTCCGAGGACACAGAGCTTGCTAGTGAGGGAGCTGGGATTCACAGCCAGCTTTATTCCAGTTTGACTGTCCGTGGCACCCTAGAAAGCGGTTCAGGGCTGGCCTCTGCCACCCCCTCCTGGGCCAATCACCAGAGAGGTTGGGAGGCAGCATGGCTCTAGGTGACCTGAGGCCGTGGGTCGTTGTGTGCCCTGCCTGTCCTTGTGCTTCCTGGACAGGGCTTTGGGTCCTGGGTGAGGCTCAGGGTGGACAATGAGGTGGAGTTGTCCCAGCCAGCTCTCCCACACTGCCCCACACCCCAGGGCCCACTGTCACCGTCTGGGGAAGCAGAGCCATCTGGCCAGCTGGTCTCCTGGGCCAGCGCTTAAGACCCCTTCTCCACTGTGGCAGTTGGTGGGTGAGGATTATTGTTGAATGTTCCCGCTGGTGGAGAAGTGGGCTGACGGAAGACGGCTTCTTTGTAGAGGGGCCCCGTCCTCCCTCGGCTCTTCGATGGGAGGCAGGCCGATGACGGCCACCAGAAGGGTGAGGGGCAGAGTGGGGTCCCCTGAAGGGCAGGCCCTCCACTTGGGCTCCCTCTCCCACCATCTCCAGCTCCAGCGCACAGTCAGGACCTCTTTGTGGTCTGGCAGCTGATGCTTAAAGAAGGACAGGGCCAGATACCTTTTTCAAAGGGAAGAGTGAGAGGGAGAGAGAGAGAGAAGGCGCTGGGATGCTGCTGAGGTGATGTGGCTCCTGTGCTCCCAAGAGTAACAATGTTTCCCCCCTGCAGAGAGCTGCGAGCTGGGCCGGGTGGTGGTGGGCCCCTACATGTACACCCGCGGCAAAGAGCTGGCGCACTGGGACGAGATGCTCGGCAAGCCCAGGGAGCTGGTGAAGCGCTGGCACGCACTTTGCCACACCACTGAGCCCTGACTCAGGAGCCGACTTTCCCCATGGTCATGCACAACAGCCACAGGCCTGGACGTTCATCCGGCGCCTCACTGGGCTGTGGGGCCAGCCTGAGCCAGGGGAACATGAGTGCTGATGTGCAGGGAAGAAGAGGGCACAGTGGAGCCCCAGCCCGGGGCAGCAGTGTGGCCGGTTACACTGCGCCAGCCTGGGAGACTGATTCATCCTTCTGTACCCATGGAGCTGCCTGAACATAGAATCCTGGCTCCCAGTCATCACAGTCCCATTTGGACCGGAATCTCAGGCCTTCGGAAGAAAGACTCTGTTTAGTGAAAGCACAGCCATGCGTGTTGGACGAAAGCGCAGGGCAGACTTGGGTTCCAGCATCTTGGGAAGCTGATGATGTGTTGATGCTAAACCTGCACTGCTTTTCAGCTGTGGTTTCTCTGCCTTCTGCCCAGCAGAGAAAACAAACTGCTCTGGGGGAGATGATGGTGGAGGGGGGATGCCCACAGCGCTCATTTCCACACTAAATAAGTTGGTCCACAATAAATAGCACAGTCTGAGAGCTGGGTTCGCGTGTAGGTGTGGAGCAGTCCCGGCAGGCCTGGGCAGCACAGCGTGCCCACCGCTCAGGAGCGAAAGCTGCGAGGATGGAGACTCGCTGGCTTCAGGACCTGTGGGAGAATGCTGTGAGCAGCCCAGGTACCAAGCGGGGGACAGGTTCTGGGCATCCGCTCCTGTGCCAGGTGAGGAGGGCTCACCTGTGTTTAGGTCCCTCCCCGGGTGTATGTCCACTCCCACCCCACGTCATATCAAGTCTTGCCCGCGGCGCGTCCTCCCCAGAGACCACATCCTCACAGCCTGGTCTTACAGGTGCGCTGCTGCTGGTTCCTGTGGTCTCCCTGGTTAGCTGCATCCAGCCCCTGGGACTCTCACTTTGGACAGGAAATGGTGAATGCACGTAGCCAAAGCATAACCCACGGGGCTGAGGGCTTTTCTGGACTAGCTCTCTAGCAATTCCACTAGGATTATTGTGTGTGGTAGGTGTCGGAGTAGAATTCATCGAGGTGGCAGTTGCCACAAATCGCCATCATCAGCTCCCCATGGAGCTGTACTCGAGGTAGTGAGCAGTCATCATACTTGTCATCGTTACTTAACAGGGAGTTTGTATTTTCACTCTAATGCTGTTGAACTTGCAGAGTCAATACATCGTTATTGTGTAACTAGAACAAAACCTTAAACCACTATCGTCTCTTTTTTTATGCAGCGAAGCAACTTCAGCAAGAGAAAGTAGCGAACGTTACGCTGGGTTTGTGCCTCTCTGCCTTCAAATTGTGTGTCGATCTCTGTCGATACACAAATTCAAGCTTTGCCCGGCCGTGGTCCACACAGACAGAATACCTTGTGTTTGCTTTTTCTCACTTATTTCACGTGCACATTTTCAACACAGTCCACACCCCGGTAATTTCTTACACACATGTAATGGGAGTTCTCTGTATGTGTGCATAGCAGGCCACTAAAATGGAACTGTGTCCATTTCACCTGCAGTCCTGAGATAATAGGTGACAGCCATTCCCACGTTTCAAGGTGAGGTTCATGCTTATCAGTGGCCTTTCCAGGGCCACTTGGAAAAATTGGTAAGTATCCCCTTTGCAGGACAGAATAGACTAGTGTGTTCAACTCACAGCTGAAAAATCTCAATGGCAAGAGACTGGCAGTTTCTACGCTCTGGTGGAGAGGAAGACGAGGTTGCTGTATTGGACTGGCCCCAGTATTAGACAGGGGCAGGGCAGAAGAGACGTGAGGGCTTCACGTGGACCAGAGACAGCTGGCCTGGGTTGTCTCAATCCTGTCCACAAGGTGATCCTAGCAGAAAGAAGTTGTTTGCATTCCCGTAAAATGTTTCAGAACCAGCTTGTCAATTTCTACACCAAAAAAGTGCTAGAATTTGATTGGATTTTCATTGAGTGTATGGACCAGTTTGGGGGCCATTTAACATCTTTCATCCATTAACATGGTATATCCTTCCATTTCTTTAAGTGTTTTTGCAAGTTTTCTTCAAACTGTTCTGTGGTTTTCAGGAAAGTCTTGCACATCTCTCATGAAATTTATTCTTAGGGGTTAATTTGTTGGTTTCTAAGTATGTACAGATTCTATTGATTTATGTATGTTGACTTTGAATCTAGCGAATGGCCTCGCTAAAGTCGCTTAAATTGTAATAGTCTGTAGATTCTTCATATTTTCTTTGTATATAGTCACGACCTCTGCAAATGACAAGTTTTATTTCTTCCTTTCCAATCTTTACGCCTTCTTTATCTCTTGCCAAATTGCAGTGGCTGGGCAGCTGGGCAAGAAAAAGAAATAAAAGGCATCCAGATTGGAAAGGAAGAAGTAAAACTATATTTGCAGATGACATGGGTTTGTATATAGAAAATCCTAAGGAATCCACAAAAAACCATTAGACTATAATATAATAAGCTATCTATAAACTGTAATAAACTATAAGTTCAGCAAGGTTGCAGGATACAAGATTGATAGACAAATTGCATTGGTGAGGCCCTCCAGCAGAATGCTGACTGAAAGTAGTGATGTGGGCATCTGTGTCTTAATCTCAACCCTGGGGGGGAGGGGGAGAAGCTTTCAATATCCACTATTAAGTGTGATGTTTGCTATAGGACTTTTAATATACTTGTGATCACGTATTCTCAATTGGTTAACGTTTTTCATCACAGTGTTAAATTTTATCAAATACATTTCTGCATCTTTTGAGATAATCATTTTTCTCCTTTATTCTTTTAATATGATGAATTATGTTGGTTGATTTTTGGATGTCAAACCAAATTTACATTCTTATAATAGAAACCAGTGGTGTGTGTATGTGTATACACACATATATGATAATACTTGGACTTGTTTATTTAAAGTTTGGATTTATTTGCTATTACATTTTTTATTGCTTTTTAATATCTTTACATCTCAACATCATTTTTTTTGTTAGGACTTTACTTTTTCAGAGCAGTTTTAGGTTCACAGCAAAATTGAGGGAAAGGTACAGAGATTTCCCAGATACTCCCTGCCCCACACATGCACAGCCTCCCCCATTATCAACATCCCCCACCAGAGTGGAACATTTGTCACAACTGGTGAACCTACACCAACACATCATTATCACCCAGAGTCCATGTTTACATTAGGGTTCACTCTTGGGGTTGTACATTCTGCGGGTGTGAACAAATGTATAATTACATGCTATTACATTTTTACGTATTTTTGCAGTTATGTTCATAAGAGATTTTTCTATAACTTTTTTATTGTAATGTCCTTGCACTTGAAAAGAATGTATATTCTGCAGCTGTTGTGAGCAGGTGTATGTATTTCTTAGGTCAAGTTTTTAATCAATTGGTCAAATCATCTGTCTTTACTGATATGGGGGCATCTGTTTTTCTCTTCATGATTGAGAGACGTTGAAGTCTCCCACTAGGATTGTGGATTTGTTTACTTCTTTTGGTTTTGTCAATGTTTGTATATGTCCTATATGTTACCAGGCTCATGCCCATTTAAACTTGATATTTTTCTGGAAGGTTGAACCCTTCATCATTGTGAAATGGTGCTCTCCACCACTCATAATGGCATATTTTTTCCATATATTTTTTCAACTGTCTTCTGTTCTCATGTTATACGTCTTGAACACAGTTTTTAGTTGTCTATCAACCTCTGTCTTACGTGTATTTTGTTCATTTACATTTAATGTAATTCACTGATAGCGTTGTGTTCCTGTGTACCATCTCACTATCTGTTTCCATTTGTCCTGCATATTTTGTTTCTTTTTCTCTTCTTTGTTGCCTTCTTTTGGATTCAGTCTTTTTTTTTTCCATTCCATCTCTCCCCACCCATTCGTTGCCATTCAGTCTATTATTCCTTTAGCAGTTACCCTGGAGATTACAGCTTTTATCTATTATGTCTAATAGTCTAATACAAATTTTACTTTTTATCACTCTCCAGACAATTTTAGAATACTCGATCTCTACCTCCATTCTGGGTTTTTTTGTGTTATTGATATGATTGATTTTAATTCCACCTATTTTTTACACCTAACAAGACATTACTATAATTGCTATGTTCAGTCAATATTCATTTATATTCACCTACAGGATTAATCTTTGTTTCGCTCTTTATTCTTTTCTGCACTTTTGTGATTCTACCTGAGATAATATTCTTTCTACCAGAAGAACTCTCTCTAGTATTTCTTTTAGTGCAGATCTGGCAGCCAATTTTCTCAGTTTTTGAATAGAAATATCTATTTCAAACTCATTTTTAAAGGATATTTTCGTGGAAGTTGAATTTTAGATTGACGTTTTCTTTTCTTTCAGCAGTTTAAAAATGGTATTCATTGTCTTCTCAATTCCATGGTTTCTGGTGACAAGTGAGTTATCAGTGCTATTGTTTCTCCTTTGAAAGTGATGTGTTCCCCCTCTTGGCTGCTTTTCATATTTTCTTTTTGTCTTTGGTTTTCCCCAGCTTGAGTATGGTATGCCTAGATGCAGTTTTCTTTTTATTTATCCTGCTTGGGGGTCATAAAGCTTCATCAGTTTTGGAAAATTCTCAGCCTACATTTCTTCAAATATGGTTTCTACCCCTTTCTTCCTCTCCTCTTCTTCTGCGACTCCAGTTACACAGGTTAGATCTTTCCACCATTTCCCACAAGACACTTAAGTTCTTGGCTGTTTTTCCATACTCTTTATGTCCTCCTTCAGCTTAGAGTTTTTATAATGCCCTCTTAAAGTTCAATCCATCTTTCTTCTGCTAAGACTAATTGTAGTTAACCTATATGCTGAGTCCTTAATTTCAATTACTGCATTTTTCAGTTCTAAATTTTCATTTGATACCTTGTTATAGATTCCAGTTCTCTGATGAAAGCCTATTTGTCAATCACGCCAATATCTGGGTCATTAGTAGGTCAGTCTTATTGTGTATATGTTTTCCCCCTTGGTCCTGTTTCTTGGGATGCTTGATCATTTATTGTCAAATGCTGACCATTAGGATAAATTATAGTGACCCCAGGAGACATTATTCCCCCAGAGAGGATTTGCTAGATCCTCTGGTAACAGAGTGGGGAGAGGTCACCTTAATCCAGTCTGGGGCTGAGCTGACTAGAGTCTGGGTTGCTGTGTCTGTGGGGCTCCCTCTCCACCTCTGGTGTGCCACCATTTCTACAGTGTGGTCTTCCAAGGATCCCGAATGAGAACCAGGTGTGTTTACTAGGCTTCTTTGCCTCGGTGGGTCCTGAACTTCTCATTTCTTTAGTGTCGTGACATTGCCAAAAAACAAAACAAAACAAAAACTCTGCTGTGTTTCATAGGCTTTCTGCATAACTTAATAATTCACAGCTTCATAATTCAGCAAATGCTTCAAGGGGAAAACCCTTAAGTGTCAGAATTACTTTTCTGTGTCTTCCTTCCACCCAACATCTTGGCCCCTCCAGTGTCAGCTGCCTTGGCAACCCCAATAGCCAATTTCTTGCCTGTCCAGCTCCAGAGACTCTGCTCCATTTTCTGCCTCTTAGCCGTCGTGCTTTGCCCAAGAGCTCAGTCTCCTAACTAGAATCAGCACATTTCCTGAACGGAAACGTGGTTCACAGAACGTCAGCTCACCTTGTGTCTTCCTCCTTCTGAGTTCACGGCTCGTCAAATGCTTGTCAACTTGGCAGCTCTCTGATAACTTAAAAAGAGGTTTGGTTTTCTGTACTTTATTCAGCTTTTCTAGTCGTTCTCAGCATGAACGTTGGTCTGCCTCAAGCAGAAAAATAATTATTTCCTCAGAATTCTTTTCCCAGAAAAAGAATTCCCAGCAAAGAGTGATTTTTATATAAGGAATTTGGTTACAACTATTGGGGAAGCTGATGAAGTCAAAAGGAGAAAAGTTGCTTGTATCAGTTAGCTATTTTTGCAGGAATGATGTATAACAAACATTCACAACACCTCAGTGCTGTGCTAAAACGACATTTATTTCTCATACATCTATGGGTCAGCCGAGGGTGGCCCCCTCTAGGATGGGCAGCTCACTTTCAAGCTGTGGGTCTGGCTGGGCTCAGGTCCTCATCCAGGTCTAAACATGTTGGTTCATTCTGAGCACAGGCTGAGGGGCAGCAGCTACCCAGGGAAAGCTGTTTTCATGGTGAAAGAAGAAGGGCAAACACATTTCTACCCTCTGCTTGTGTTATGTCACCTAACATCTCACTGGC